TCGGTGTCCGTGGAGTCCTTATGCAGGTGCCCAGGCTGTGGTTCTGTGCGGTGCGTTACACGCCATTCCCTCGGTCTTGACACAGTACTTGACAAGCCTGCCCTGCGAACAGTGACTCCACACGAGACGGTCAGAAGCGCCCCAAAAGCCCACTCTGCTCCTGTTCTAAACAGTGGTTCTTGGCCAGCCACGGAGTCAGGGCAGGGTTTATATCACAGCTGAACTTTCTTTAAAAAAAAATACAACTTATTCTGTTATATTTCTACATTTCGGACTTTATAATTAATAAGGGGAATGACGACTATCAACCTACCAGGGCTTCTCAATTTCACTCCCTAATACTCCTCACTTCAACACAACAGATGCTCCACTGCTCTTGTCAGGCGTACCATTTAATAACGCGGATTTTTTAATCAAAGAAAACATGATAATTTTAAAAGAAACATCAAAAGTGCTTTATTCAAAGTACTGTCCATTGCTAGCTACACATTTCCCCCATCTTTTTTTAAAGTATATTTTATTAATTTTTTAACATAGAGGAAGGGAGTGGGATAGAGAGTTAGAAACATCCATGAGATGGAAACATCAATCAGCTAACTCCTGCACACTCCCTACTGGGATGTGCCCGCAACCAAGGTACATGTCCTTGACCAGAATCAAACCTGGGACCCTTGAGTCTGAAGGCTGACGCTCTATCCACTGAGCCAAACCGGTCAGGGCCATTTCCCCCATCTTTCAGGTAATTTGTGGATACCGTCCTAAGAGAACTTTCCTTGTTTTGAGGCAAACCATTCAGAGACCCAATTCTCTACTCTTCATACGTTTTGAAGTGCTGCTCAGGAAGTGCGTGTGCCATCGATCAGTGCTTGTCTTGGTACCTGTAATTAAGCCCTCAGTACCTGTTACTTAAAGGCCCCAGCCTAAGATACCAACTATGACTGTGCAGGTGAGGATCACAGGGAGGACCGAAGGGATGGGCGTGTTGGTTGTGGCCTTGGACGGGACTGTGGCTGTGGCAGTGGTTGGTGCAGCTGTAATGGAAACACGAGAGTGAGAACCGTGCAGAACCCAGTTCCATGGAGATGCCCCTCAGCCCCTGCTGTCCCAGGTCATCCTATTGTGCAGTTTCTACCCTCCACGTGTGGCAGCCACAGTGACAGAGCCTGGGGTTGGAGCAGAGAGAGGAGATGGGCCCCGGCCCCTTGGGGCTCACACAGCGAACGGAGGAAGCAAGGGTTACAACAATCACTCCTGCTGGGACAGAAGGGGAGGTGACCCTGAGGGAGGTGGCAGAAAATCCTTGCAGGGCAGATTTGAGGTGGTGTTAAAGGATTTCCAGATATAGAGCAGGTGAGATGAAGACACATGATGCTGAGAAGAGGGAACCGGACCAGGAAAAGGTGAGTGGTCCAAGGTTATGTGCAGGCATGAGGAACAGAGAAACCAAAGGAGGGATCACAGAACATACCTATGGTCCTTCTTGTCCAAAAATCCCTCACCGTGGTGGATGGGTCACTTTCTCAAACCACACACAACACAGACACCACACACTGTGTGAATGTCAGAATGTCATTTCAAGGGAACTACAACTTCATTTCCTCTGTAGAGTTACCTTGTGTGCTCAGGGGACACAGAACTTGTTGAAGCCACTTCCTACAGTCTCCAGTTGAGGTCCTAACAAGGAGATCGGTCATAGCTCTGTCACTCGCCAATGTTTGCTTCAACAGTCTGCCTTCACCGCGCAGCACTGTCCAGTGTCCGTTCTTTGTGTCAAAGCGGAGAGATATCTGTCCATCCAGTCCAAACTCCCAGAATGCAGCGGTGCGTCCATTGGATTCCTGCTCACACATCATGCTGCCCTGCAGGGAGAGAGGACCTGTCCCCAGCACCATGGGGAAGAGGTCAGCCTTGGGTCTGACAGCCTTTGTCCCCACCGGGTGTCCAGCCCTCTGCTCCCCTCTGCTCCCCTGGTCCTGCTCTGTCCTCTGTGTCCTACACTGACTCCCAAGGCTCTTGGGTGGGATGGACTTCCCACATTTACATAAACACAACTGATCCCTCACCCCACCTCTGTTCTGCCTCCACCCTGGGTTTTGTAAACGTACCGCTGGTCGCAGGAATCTCTGCTCTAATGTCCAGCAGGGTCTTCTTGAGCTCCTCCACCACGTACTGCAGAGCGTCTCTCTGGTCACTCCAGGCCTGTGTGGCGTTCATCTCCAGGACACTGATGAGTCTGACCTTGTGGCCACCACAGGTATAATGAAGAAATGTGTTCCCATTGACCTGGCCTTGAATGTCACACCACGGTTGTCCATTAGGAGTGACTGTGAATGTGTAGCCCAGAGAGGGAGCACCTGTGAGGGAGGGACGCAGGGGTGGGAATAAAGGTAACTAAGCGCCCCTCCCCATTCTGGACAGCAAGCGAACCCCCTGATGGCCGGGCGGCCCTTTTCCTGTTCGCGTGCAGATGGCAGGGGCTCGGGCTCCCACTTTGCAGAAGCCTTTAGTGAGGCGGGTGGGTGGGGCGTGCTGTCGCGGCTCGGGGTGGAGGAAGGGGCTTCGTCCTCTTTCCCATCTTCCTCCCCCCCCACCCCCCTGCCTGGCCCCTTCGCCCAGGACTATTTGTGAGAAGTCACAGGCTCATCTCTGTCCCTCCCACCTGGACAGAGGCAGCCAGGTATGCAGACGCCTGGAGACTGAAAGGCGCCCGCAGAGATGATCGCTGAGGGGTTCGGCGGGTCTGTGCCCCACCCGGCGGGAAGGTTCCCCACCCCATGGTGGACTCCCCACCCATTCCATCCCTCAGGTTCCCTAGCTCCGATTCCATTCTCCAACTCACAGCGGGGAGCAGCTCGTTCCCAAAGCAGAAGCAGGAGCAACAAGACTGGGCTGACACCTTCAGACCCAGACCGCTCCATCTCGACCCTCAGCAGCAGTGCTCGCAGCCAGGACCCTGGTTGCATCACCAGCAGAGAGTCCTCCAAGTCTCCAAAGTTCTGTGCAAGTGCCATCCCCGCGCACCTCCTTTATATTTGCAACCAGCCCCGCCAGCACAGGGACAGACCGCCCCGCCCCGCGTACGTCCTTTATATTTGCATATTTCCAGAAAAGGCCCTGTCTGCAAAGGGACCAATCACTCCCCGTGAGTAGATTTTCTGGCGGAAGCTGGGACAAAAGCCAAGGTTTCAGGCAAGCTGTGGTTTCTCAGGCCAGAGTGCCTGTGACCACATCCCAGCACAATGCACCCCCACAGTCCCGGTGACCGCGTCCCCCCTCCACCCCCCCACTGGTCTGAACGACTTACCCCGAAGCTAAGTGGCCCTGCTCTGA